GATGGTCAAACGCATCTCTGTAGTATGGTAGTCCAGAAGCAGTATGCGCACACGATAGATGGACACGTAACCACCTGTAAAGACATGTTAATAATAATTCTTGAAAGATAGAATTGTAAGAACATGAACTTGAAGCAAACATTGTACCTGCACGCCAAAGGGTCAACACCTCGCTGATGCTGAGTCCCCAAAATGTCATCCTCATCCTCAACCTCAGGGTCCTCCTGTGGCGGATCTCGAGGCCTCCTAATGTATGGTCGGCCAATAGTAATATGCTCCCACGACCACAACTGTAGTAGGATGAGCGGGCCTCCAATCTGTCTTGAATCTCGCTGACATGCTCGACATAGCTGCCGATACAAAAAACCAAGAGTCGCACTCCCCCAGCTGTAGGTCGAAGCTGTCTCCCAGTCTCGAAGGAACGGCAAGTAGTAGAGTGACACAGCATCGCCACTCTTATCGGCGAACAGAATAGATCCCATGAGAGTGAGAATGTAAGCACGGCTATGGCGCTGAACTGTCAAGTCATCAGCTCCCTCTGGCATCTGTGAGAAGTGACGTCTAAGCCACGTCAACTTCAAAGTAGATCCCTCCAGAAACGGCTTACCGTTATCATCATGGCCAGGTCGAACTCCCAGCAACTCCTCAACTAGGTCATGCCATCCCTCAAATGGAGGTCCAATGACAGGAGGGCCGTGCACTCTCAGACCTAACAGGACGGAGACATCCTGTAAAGTAATGGTGGCCTCACCTACCACTAGGTGGAAAGTATGTGTCTCCTGCCTCCACCTCTCAACCAACGCCATAAGAAGAGATCGATCAAGCAAAAACCCTCCTCCCAAAATCCTATGTACACCGTAAAACCCAGCAAGCCTAACGTACTCTAGTACTCCGCCATCTACCCTCCACTCACGTCCCACGCTGACCATATGCTCCCTAACTGAGAGAACTCTATCAGCTACGCCACTCCAAACATCGTGGCTCCTATGGGAAGTCTGCAAGCGTAGAACAGATGGATCCACTGGGCCTGGACGAATCACCGGCTCCATGGGACCTACACGATAACGAAAAATTGAATTAATGTTAAGCGTTCGAGAAAAAACATAAATATTAAACAAGAATATATAATTAATCATGTTACCCAGATGATCCAAATCCACCAATAAGAGTAGGACATGTCTTCTTGTTATGCCCAGGTCGCCGACAAACACTGCATGCCTTCTTCACACGATAGGGACGCTCATCCATTTCATTTCGAATTCTAGTGGACCGTCGGCCTGGGCCTCTTTTCAAATCTGGGTTGGCAATAGTAGTAGGACCATTGTAAGCTGACCAGTGGCAAGGATCAGGAACTGGTGCGAAACACTTCGCGTATGAACGCCTATATTCGGCGGTCATGAAAAAAGAATCCACAAAGTCTGCATGTGATAGGCTTCTATGACGACAAACTGCTAGTACATGAGAGCATGGGAGCTTGTATATTCTCAATTTCTCACAAGTACATGTCTTGCTCAACAGATTCACAGTGTGGGAGTTACCACCTTTACCAGCTTTTCTTCTTCCACGACCGGTCCTAACCTGATACAACCCGATGACATCATAGTCAAAAGCAACAACCTCATGGTGCGTGGCTTTCTCCATGTTGGCTTCTATTGTCTTCTTAGCCTTTTCCGATAACTCATGGCCCTCTTCAAGTCTTCTTTTACTCCAACTTCTTCTAGTTGCAAAATAGGAGTTAACCCGGAAAAAGGTCATTTGCACTAAAGCGGTTATCGGGAGACATCGAGCCCCCTTTAAGACTCCGTTGAAAACTTCCGACATGTTTGTAGTCTTCACACCAAACCTGAAACCACCATCATGATGAATGGACCACTTACTGTACGGAATTTCCATCAAGTACCTACGGGCCTCTACATTCAAGTCACCAATTTTGTTGATGTAGTAATCAAACTTCTTCTTCTGCCTTGCAGTAGCTGCTTTGCCAAAGAGGTTCTTTATGACGACACTTTTAAATTTTGAGTTCACATTAGAAGCCAAGTGTCGTGTACAGTACTTGTGGTAGGCATTGGGCTCCTCCCAACCACTTCCAACTTCTTCCATTGCTGCTAAAATACCAGCATGTCTGTCAGATATCACACATAGCCCTTTCCTATCTGTAACTCGAGCACGAATACAAGCCATGAACCAAGACCAACTATCATTGTTCTCTCCTTCGACAACCGCAAAAGCAAGGGGGAATAGTTGAAAATTGGCATCCGTTCCCATAGCAATGAGTAGAGTGCCTTTGTATTTGCCATATAAATGAGTGCCATCAATGGTGATAAGGGGTCTGCAGTGACGGAATCCATCAATACATGGCTTGAATGCCCAAAAGACTCGTTGAAAAACATGTGTTCCAGGAACCGTACACTCTAACAACCTCCACTCAACAACAGTTCCAGGATTTGATTCCTTGAGAGCTTGCATGTCCTTAGGCAACTGTTCATATGAACCCTCCCAATCCCCATAAATGAGTTTTATTGCCTTTTGTTTCGCTAGCCATGCTCTCTTGTAGGTTATTTGGAATCCATCAAATTTCTCTTTCACAAGTTGCACCATTGTCTTGATTTTCAATGAAGGATCAACGCGAATGACATCTAGAAGAGCATTGCAAAAGAACTCGGAAGTCAGTAGCTTATGATCTCCCGAGTCGATGTCACCAACACAGTTACTTGCATGAGGGCCGTTGTACCTCACAATTTTAAACGTAGAGAGTGTTGGATCTTTCACTCCTCTAAGCCTCCACGAACAACTACATTGTTCTTTCCTCTTGCACTCAACAACATATTTCTCTGGCTCTGCCTCCACAACTCGAATTGTTTGATTTCTAGCTATGGAGTAAGATTTCACAGCATCTTTCAGTTGTTGCAATGAGTCAAACTGCTGACCAACCTCAAATTCTCCCCCATTGTTATATGTCTCATTTCCTAACCAAGACATCCATGAGTTATTCAAACGAGGATCAACTTGCGCCACTTCATTGAAGTCTGAAGTGGGGGCGCTTCCTTTAATTGCCTTATCACGAGCTTCAATTACCTCTTCATCATCATCTTCATCAGTGTCATTCATCTCTGCATCGCCAAATACATCAACATTGTTTGGGTCAAGAGAATCAAGAATGCCTTGTGGTTGTGTGCTTGTCGAGGTTCCAACATTAGGCGATGAGGCCGGAGACCTAAACTGTGAGAGATGGTCATTGACATAATGTGGATCAACAAGCATTCTTGTGAATGACCCTATGCCCACACTTTGAACACTAGTGGAAAACGGTTGATCCACACTACCAAAAAAATCCATCCCCGGAAAGGAACCAGTGTTAGTTTGCACAACTGGCTCCTTTGGAACTTGTTCAATGAACAATTGCATTGCAACAGAAGAACTCTGAGTCACAGCAATCCACATAGCTCTAACAGCGTTGTCGTCATTTAACGGAATTGCAACATATGCCCCAGCCATAGGATAACGCATAACCACCTTCAACTCCACACCTCTAGGATCAACACTCAATTCTTCATATAGCTTGTTCAGAACTTGTGAATATGTCATTGCAGAATGTACAAACACAAATTTTTGATTCCCACCCCTATACGTTATATCGCTATCTTTGTGGACAATTTCTCCACCCCAATAGCAATATAGAGGGTAGTTCGGAACCTCCATGTTTCATTCTAGAAAAGACCATTATTAATCAAAGATATTAGATTGCAAAAATTCATTAACAGTGTGGCAATGTCCTAACATCAAGCAAGCAAACTACACAATTATAGCAACCTAAACTGAGCTATGAAGGTCTTAATACCTCTTGAAGCTCAACATGGGCATAAGTCATGACTACATGTACTTTGAGCTCATGTACTTTGTGTATAGAAGCTCTATTTTCACTTTCAAAATCAGCAATTATAGCAACCTAAACTGAGTAATGTGATCGAAACCATTAATAATTCTACAAGGGTTATATGTAAGGTAAGTAAATCAACAACAACAACCAAAACCAACCACAAACATACATACAATTCTGAAACTCAATAACAACAACAATAAACAAGAACACTAACAACAACAACACAACCAAAACCGAAACTCAATAACAACAACAATAAACAAGAACACTAACAACAACAACACAACCAAAACCGAAACTCAATAACAACAACAATAAACAAGAACACTAACAACAACAACACAACCAAAACCGAAACTCAATAACAACAACAATAAACAAGAACACTAACAACAACAACACAACCAAAACCAACAACAACAACACATACATACAATTCTGAAACTCAATAACAACAACAAACTCAATAACAACAACAAACCCAATAACTGAATACAAAAAATAATTAGGGCACTTACCACAAACAAGAAGATCAGCACGTTTCTTCTGAAATTAGCGAAGCCGACCACTAAAGTCGAACCCTCGGCGTCAACAGCGGCGGCCTTCGTTGCTGAGGAATGCTCCGGCGGCGTCGGTGGATTCCTTGGCTGCGCCGGCTTCCGTTGAAGGAGGTGTGATTTTGGTGGAAGGCGTGGATGGGATTTTGGTGAGAAGACGAAAATGAAAGAGGAAAGTGAAATCAGGAAATTATACCTGCTAGAAAACCGCTACTTGAAGTAGCGGTTTATTAAACAAAAACCGCTACTTGAAGTAGCGGTTTATTAAAAAGAAACCGCTACCTGAAGTAGCGGTTTATTAGTAAAAACCGCTACTTCAGGTAGCGGTTACTTCAGGTAGCGGTTTTGCTGTAGACCGGATTTAAAATTTCTTCCCCCCTGAACCGGTGACGTGGACGGTACTTTGGGAATTCTTAAAACTTTGGCTGCAATTTGGGAATTGCGGTTCTTCTTGACTTTAATTTGGGAAAGAGCTCGTTTAACTTGTGGCTAAACTTTACAACTTTACAAGCAATCGTTAATGGTTATCAGCTTATCGCTAATTTTGTCCAACAGGGCCTAACTCAAAAAAGTGGTTTTGAAAACTTGAAAAATCAAGCAAAAGAAGCAAGTATGCGTGTTCTCACTCTCCTCCATTAAAATCCAACAGCTGTTCAAAACGTGAAACCAGTACACATATCGAAATTCCAAACGACTTTGAATTTCCAAATTAAATCAAAATCAAATCAAACCTTTTTTTTTTCTCGTCAAACCCTAACCTAACTTCGATTTTTCCTCCTTTTTCATCATCAGATCAATTTCAAATCTTTCTAAATCAATTCAATTCCTCGATTTCTTCCCCTTTTTTCATTCAATTCAATTATTCGCAAAATTCCACTCTCAGCAGAGTTTCCAAATCCCCTGAATCACCAATCGGCGTAAAATTCCATCAAAATTGACGGCAAATGCGAAGCAGATCTAGCAAATCCTCATCAAATTCAAGCTTAATCATCACAAATTCACTGGAAATCAACGGAATTTCATCTAGATTTTCAATCAGTTTCTGACATATGATAAAACTACGAACTGCAAAATCGCCATTGTTATGGGAGCAGCAGAGAGGAAGAAGTGGTTATTCGCACTATTCTCCGCTTTGTTAGTCTCTCTCCTCCTCTTTCTCACTGCAATTTCTGGGCTCAACGCTTCATACGCTTTCACTTCTTGGAGTAACAAGCCAACCGCAATCCTCAACCGAGGGCCGCAATTCCCGCCATCATTCGCTTACTACATCTACGGCGGTGCCGGCGATAAGGAACAAATTCTACGACTATTGCTTGCTGTGTACCATCCCCGGAATTGGTATTTGTTGCATCTATCTGCGGATGCATCGGCGGAGGAGAGAGAATGGCTGGTTGCTGCTGTGAGGTCGGTGCCGGCGATTCAGGCTTTCGAGAATGTGGAGGTTATTGGGAAGCCTATATGGCTGACATACATGGGAGCTACTAATATCGCGGCGACGCTTCGAGCTGCTGCTGTGTTGTTGAAGCTGGATGATGGGTGGGATTGGTTCATTACTTTGAGTGCTTCGGATTATCCATTGCTTACTCAGGATGGTATGTGATTTATTGGTAATTATCTATTTATGGGAATATTTGGTCATTTGATCAATATTGTTATTTCCTTTTGTGGGTTTATCTGAGGATATTGATTAGTGATGTCTTCATTGTCTTGCTGATGTGCCCAATTTTTGTTCCTTTGTTGGCTTGTTTGTGTACAATTAGTTGTATGTTTATGTGGAAAAAAAGAACAGTTTGTACCAAATTGTAAATTGGTGTACTCTTGAGTAGTTGAATTAGTCTTTTTTGGCGACTTTTGGTTATTTGATTTCTATATGGGTTGGCTGATAATTATAGTTAGATTAGTTACGTTTCGATTAGAGCTAGACCTCAAGTCACCTGGATGTCAGTTGGAGAACATTATTCTTCCTGATTTGCTTTAAGGTTACTAAACTTGCTTAGGTAGGAAGATGTAGTGGTTCCAGGAGGTTTTAGTGAATGACATTCTAATTTAGAATCTAGAAATTTAAAGCATTTAAAGTGGAGACTCACGTCGTGTCCGTTTATTTTTGGCTGATGAGATTTAATTAAACTGCTCTTTCAGTCACAAAATTTTTCAATAGTAAAAAATATTTTAACGGATGAAAATTTGCGTGGATTCTTGTTGGGTTTGGATCATATGCAGCGATGATCAAGATTGAATTTTTAACTGTAATGTTTTACAATAATTATGGGTTGTATGCTCTCTCAATGCTGTGCTTTACATGGTTGTAAATACAGAATTACTCATGAAAAACTAGTATGATTGTAGGGAATTAGTTTTACAGGGAGTGTAAAGAATGTGTGGTCGCTTGTTATTGCTTTTGACCTTCTAGTTGATTCACTGATTATTCCAAACTGAATTCTTCTTATTTGCAATTGAATGTGAGGATGAACCTTGTGAACCTTTATTGACATTTAAAAGAATTATTATGTTCGAATTTTAGGAGGTTTAAGTTTGGTTTGGAGTAGCACTGAATATCTTCTGCTAGGACACCGTCCTTAAGACTTCCTTGTTGATGGTAGCTGAGTATTGGATTCTCCCCTATTTCGGCTGATTATCTGTTTTCATTTTATTTTTTGAAAAAGTGAGTTCGGATGATGGTGGCTGCACAAGAAATAATTGTTCAGTAAAAAGGTCTGTTTATGAAACAATGCTCCAGGATCTTAGAAAATTGTTAGTAGTTATATTCAGATGAATGTGGTATCATCCCGTATTATATTCCCAGTTATTTCCAATAATGTAGTTGTGTTCTGGTTCAACCAAGAGGGTTTGTGGGAAAGGAAATGTATTCCCCTTGATGTCTGTTTAAGATACTCGGGTTTTGATCTGTTACCAGTCATACCACATCCTCTAAGATGAAAGCTTTGCTCCCCTAGGCTTATTGTCTGATCTGCAGCTCTTTGCTTTGGATGATTATTTATTTTTTATTTTTTTTATTTTTTTGAGATCTTTTTTGGATTGAAGTTGTTAGTTGTGACAGATAGAAATTTCTCTTCCCTTTAGCTTTAAGACAATTCTTGTAGTATGAAAAGACACGTAGATATTCAGAATTTGAATTCCTTCCCATAATTAGCAGATTGAGAATTTATGTTTGTAATTTGGAGAGCAACATCAATGCTGCTCCCTACTGGTCCATTTCTGTGTAATTGTTGAGGGAGAATCAAACAAAAAGGTTCACCTAGATTTCTACTTTTCTTTGTCCTTCATATCTTAGGGAAAGCAGTCCTGTGCTTCTTAGATCAGAGAAGCAGGTGCTTTGTAAATTGTGGCGGTGGGGCCATGGGATTTGGTTGGAGAGATGAATTGTTGTGGCATTTATTGTTATTTGGGAGAGGGTAATACTTTTTAAATCGAGGGAATGAAGAGGTTTGAAATCCCCTTTTTTTTATTATTTTTTTTAATAGTATTTCCTTTTTTTCTTTAGGGCTTCTTGAGCCAAAAAGGCCATGGAGTATATAGGATATTATAATTTTCAATATCCATGAAGCATTGCTAGTAGAAACTTTGTTTGAATGGTCCCTAATTGTTTTATTGCAACAAGTATATACTTATAACCCAGTTATGTTGAGTTGGCGTTGAACTGTGATGAATTAGAGGGTTCAGTGGCATTATAAGCTTGTGCTTGGAGTGTTAAGCTTCTCGTCTTCTCGATTATGTTTTAACCAAATTATATTGCAAGTATTTTGTGGATTGATTTCTTCAATGGCTATCACTTTGCCTGAATTTGGAATAAACCAATTTTTATGGAGTTATGGGCAAAGTAATAAGGAAACATGCTGCTGTGCAGCAACATGCCGATTTATTTGCTTTCATCCTGAAGTACTGTGTTAATGGATAAGCAACAATAGGGCTGAATCTGATGCTTACTTGCAGAATTAGTGGTCATATAATGTCTTTTATGTTTATACTGGTTTATTGTGTCGGACTGCATTTAGATTTTTCCTTGAAATTTGGTGTGGGGAGTAAGGTGGGGGAGTGGATTGGATGAATAATGATCAAAAGAACCTGAAAGCAATCAAGGGAAAACTTGGATAAATATGTTTATTCTCTGAAGCGTGTGTCATAATTTACTTGTCTTCCCCCCTTTACTTTAATGACACATTAAGTGAATAGTTAGTAAAGTTTAGATCATGCAAAGTAAAAATTATTTAACTTTTCTCAGGGTCAAGATTGAGGGCCTTGAGGCTGCAAAATAGTTCTGTTTAACTCACAACTTTTGTTGGTGCATGTTCTGTGGATCTTTTTGACGGAATGTTATGATTTAGTCACTGTCTCAGCAAAGTTGATCTGCCTATGGCATAATCATCTAAATTTGAAGTGAAGAATATTCAATGCCATAGATTACACTTGATCATTTTACTATCAGTATGTGTTAGTGGTCATGTTCTATAGATATGCTAGCTATGCTTTCTGCTGATTGCCTTCTGATCATGTGCTTGGATGATGAGTACTTTGAGCTAAGCTACTGCTGTTTGTATCTATGCTGAAAAAATGCTGGTATTGTTAATCATGGTGTAGCTATCATTCATTCTCATTATTGACGCTGATAAAAGTCTCTGTTTGCGTATTTATTTCAGACTTGGCTCATGTATTCTCATCAACTAGGAGAGACCTCAATTTCATTGACCACACCAGTGAGCTCGGCTGGAAAGAGTAGGCAAACCCTTTTCATAAACTTAAGTCATCATTGTGGTAAATAGATCTTATTGTATTCATGCAACTTTTTTCAAACATTCCTTTGCAGACAGCAAAGAATTCAACCTATCATTGTGGACCCTTCAATATATTTAGCTAGAAGAAGTCAGATATTTACTGCAACACAAAAGCGGCCTACACCTGCTGCTTTCAAAGTTTTCACAGGCAACTCTTTTTACTATCCTCCATCACTATTAAATTTAAAAGCCCACTTGTTATGTTGATTATATTCATTTGCCTTTTTGCAGGTTCTCCCTGGGTTATGTTGAGTCGATCCTTTTTGGAGTTTTGTCTCTTTGGTTGGGATAATCTTCCTCGCACCATCTTAATGTATTTTAACAATGCGGTGCTACCTGAAGAAGGCTATTTTCATTCGGTCATATGCAATTCGCCAGAGTTTAGAAACACAACTGTTAACAATGATTTGAGATACATGATATGGGACAGTCCTCCAAAAATGGCGCCCCACTTTTTGAATGTATCTGATTTTGATCAGATGATTCAAAGTGGAGCTGCTTTTGCACGCCGATTCCAAAAGGATGATCCAGTGTTGACGATGATTGACGAGAATATTCTTCATCGGAGACATAACAGAGTTGCTCCAGGATCATGGTGTTCTGGTCGAGATAGTTGGTTTACTGATGCTTGTGCGCAGTGGGGTGATATCAACTCTTTGAAGCCTGGGCTCCAAGCAAAAAGGTTTGCAGATTCTATGACAAACTATATAGATGACCTTAACTCACAGTCTACACAATGCAAATGAAAGCAACTGATAATTTTCCTTTGGGACATGGAGGCTCTGTATTTTTACTTATATCAAAGCATGGGAGACCACAGGTGCACATTAGTCAGCTTACCGAGGTGGTTTAGAGTCAAATATGGATGGGACTTTGTACTAATTCCGTATACAAATTGTTCATAGTTTGGTGGAAGTTGGGAGAGAATGGCCGATCCCTTATAGGGACTTTTGAGCCTGCATTGTGGCTTAGAGGGGCCAGCATTGATTGTAGAGTAATCTGGTCTCTAAAATAACTAGGAAGTCACTATATTATGCGGCAGTATACATACTGATGATCCTTTTGTATCTTTTTTGTATGATATCGTTGTTGAAATAGGCTTATGGTCGACTTTTTTCGATGGCCGTGTATCAGATTTTTACTATCCCTATGTTTAATTAATTAATTCTTCTGATACAACACTGCATAATGCTTCATTTTGATATAAGATATTTTCCATTTGTAATTTAGTATTTGATTCATTGGTTGATTCTATTCTTTGCTAATTTTGCCTTTTGTGATTTTATTGGACTATAAAAGATTTAAAGCCAGTGACGTTGCAATTTGGGCATAGTCTCTGCTTTCTTCCACTGTTTGATGTTTATGCTTACTAACATGTATCATTGTACCAGGTTTGGTGCCATCAGAAATTTGGAATTGACAGTTTTTTATGAATTCCGAACAGTTTTGTGCAGGTCCCAAAGTAAATATTTGTGATGCTTCACTTGCATAGCCATGTTCCCATGTATATGAAACCAACTTTGATCCACTATGTTGGAGAGAAATAGGTGGCCCTTGAAACAATCAAATTTAAGGCTTCCCTGCTTAACATACCTTTGAATCCAGTACGAGTAAACGAAATTTCATGAAAGTTTATATCATGGCAACTTTGTAATAAAATAGCATTGAAGTCCGTGCCCAAGCAATAAATACTACATCCGCTGCATATTATGTGCAACGATTAGACATTTTTTCTTTCTACTTTATGTCAAATTGTTGCAAATAATATGTAACGAAAGTAGTAATTGTTTTACTCACAAAAGTTCTGACATTATGCCAACTTGCACAATAAAACAAATTGATGGAGCCTACTAACGTAAGCTTGGATTCGTGAGACTGTGAGTGCTTAACCCACCATACACGCTTCTTCTTCCTCCATTTTCTTACCTCTATTAGCAGAAATTAAAAACCTTTAATGGAGAAATAGAAAAGCACGAACAAGCTTCAGTGGAGAAGGAAGATAAACATTTCCCTTAAGGATTAACCATGTCCTAATTTCTCTAATTTTCATAGGGTTTTTCGTTTGATTTGGTAGGGTCGACAATTTGCCACCGGAAAGGTGATAGAGGTTGAAGAAGATATGAGACAGCGAGATACCAGGTAATGTCAAGCAAATCCAAGCGGTGGTTGGCTGGTTGTGAGATGCCGAGATCTGGTGGTATGGTTTGCAGTTGCTGTGAATTGAAGAAGAACCAACTGAAGAAGAAGAAACATGTCGTTGACGGCAATGTAACAGCAGATATTCATTCATTTGCTTTGGACATTATCACCCTTACTTTTATACGCCAAATGACGAATTTGCCCAGATATAAATAGCCCAAGTTTCTATCCGATATTAACCTGGGCCGGCTCAAAGTTTTACGATATGTGGATTTAGAATTTGAAAACTCGTGAAATCACTAATAATAACTTCACTAAAGTTTACAAGTTGGATACACTATGAGCTATGGAGTAATTATCCTTCATATAAGGTGTGTTTTCTTCGCCTTATTAGAATTGAACTTATTTGAATTTATGTGAACTAAACTTATCTAAACTAATTTAAATTTATCTGAACATATCAAACTTGTTAGACCTTATTGAACTTATTAGACTTTATTGTATAACTTATTAAACTTGTTAGACCTTACTTGGTAGGCTTTATTTAAATTCATAGCGTTCTGTATGTTCACCTGATTTTCACTTATCTGAATTTATCTGATCTATTATTAGCCCTTATTAGATCTTACTTTAGTTATAAATTGAACTTGGATAGCCTTTATTACCCTTTATCAAAACGTATCTGAACTTATAAATCCTGATTTGAACTTATCTAAACTTATTTTTCCTGAAATAAGTGAAAATAAGGTGAACAAAACAAAGGCTTATTGTAACTTATCTTAACTGATATGAACTTATTACCCTGAAACTTTTATAAGGTGAAGAGAACAAGCGCATAATCCAAAAGAGTCTATATGGACGTTTATTATCTCCGAAACACCCTTTTTTAGGAGTAATATATAATAGAGAGTATTAATGTTAAACAAAAGTTGCAGTGAAGGTACTCAAGTTTCAAAAGTTGCAGGTAGAGTACTAATCACACTATGAACCTACAAAAACAGGTTAACAAAAAAAAAAAAAAGGAAAATTATTTTTCTGACATTTATGCAGAGGGTACTGCTGTTTGAAATTGTTCAAGATTTTGAGTTGTTAAAATATAGCCGTTACAACTCCAAAAAAATTTCCTTCCATATATATTGATCTCCATATAGCCATCTGCTACAACTTGCAGCTGTTTTTTTTTTTTTTTTTTTTTTTTTTTTTTTTTTTTTTTTTTTTAAAAAAATAATAAAAATAAAAAAATTCAGAAGAAGCAATTACAAAAATTACAGGAAAATCAAGTTAAATATTTTTTACAAGAGTTCACAACATGTCAAGGCTAAGAAACTCTGGGAGTAGATGTCACTGTGGGTTGTTGGTGTCTAAGAGTAGGACATGGACAAAAGATAACCATGGCAGAAGGTTTCTTACTTGCCCTGACTATGATGCAGAAACTGATAGGAGGGGCTGCAAATTTTTTAAGTGGGTGAACATGGAAGACCCCAATGCATGGCAGACTAAGGTGATATTGGGGCTTATGCAAGAGAATCAGGGACTCAAGAATGAAGTTATGTCTATGAGGAAGGAATTGAAGCAAGTAAACAAGTATGCTAGGAAGATTGAAAGTGATTATGTTATGCTTAAAATTAAAAGGGCTGCAAAGATGAATTTGGGCATTAATTGTGACTCATGGAAGGTTGTTATTGTGCTTCTTGTGCTAGGAATTTTGTATGCAATGAAGAATTGATCAAATGTAGCCTGAAATAAGTAATAAATTGTACCTTGTGCATCTAGTTCTTGATGTTTCTCTCTTCTTTTCTAAATCCTGAATAATTGCTGCAATTAGTGTATGATTTTATCTACTTATAAGTCTGAGGGTTTCCTGTCTTCCTCAGCTTTCCAAAAGCTGTTGTCTCTCCTGCCTGATATCTCCTCTTTGTCTTTGGTCTCCCCTACACCTTTTTCAATTTTGGTGGGATGACAAAGGCATCAGATTGTGGCCATTCTTGGGGACCATTCAAAGGCTCAATAAGGAAAGCATATGCTTTCATGTACTTGTCCTTGGTGGAAAACTCACTGACATAGCCCTCAGGCTGGTCTGATTTATTCCAAATAGCAACCACAGCATGATTGCAGGGAATGCCACTCAGTTGCCAAGCATTGCAACTGTAAGTTTTGGTCTGCAAGTCTACAACAAATTTTTCCTATGTGGCACTCTTCCTGACCCCATAAAAGAATCCTCCATCCCATAAAGCATTCCACCCCCTTGCCCAAATCTTCACCTTCTCCAATTTTTGTTGAATCCTTGGCAAAGCATTACATTCTTCCCACCAATTTCATCTCTTTTTTTGTGGAGTCTCTCCATTAACCCTCCCTTATATCCTCAAGCATTGTAATTATGGGCTTATGCCTTGAACTCAGAATGTATGCATTGAAGACCTCACTCATGTTGTTATCTACACTATCACAACATGACATTGGAGTGTAGAAAGCCCTACACCACTTCTTGTAGTTCCTTTTCATCAAATCTTCAGCTGCATCATCAGATATGACCCCCATGATTTCAATGTTATTCAGAAACTCATTCTCAGTGTTACTTTTAGCTATTGTCCAAAATTGCTTTCTGAATTTAAGTCCCCCTTCAAAGACCCCTCTAAATTGCAGTACACATGCCTAGCACACACCTTCAGATACTGCTGCTAACAACCCCTTTTGCTGGTCAGCTCATAAATGTGTAACCAGCCCATGTTGCTGTCTCCAAATCATCAGCAAGTAGAGACAGGAACCATGTCCAATTGTCTGTACTCTCAACTTCAACCACAGCCCAAGCCAAAGGAAACATTTGGTTTTTTCCATGTCTCCCTACAGCAACAAGCAATTGGCCCTTAAAAGGTCCTTTTAGGAAGCAGCCATCAAGGGAGATAGAGGGCCTACAACCAGCTTTGAACCCTTTCTTTAGTGCTTCAAAGCACAAATAAAGTCTCTCAAACACATTAGCACTCATCTGCAACTTCACAGTGTTTCCCCTGTTACTCCTCAAAATTTCAGCAGCATACCTATGAAGCAAAGAGTATTATTCTTCATACTCCCCAACAATCAAAGCTTGACCCTTCTTCCCTGTCTTGTAAGCCATGAACCTGCTCACCCTTATTCCATTTTCAAGCCAAATGGACTCCCTAATGTCTTGCAACTTCATGTATGGGTTTACTTTTAACCAATTTGCACAATTCCTAGCAATCCATGTTGAGGTCACCAATGTCACCTTTGCTTGGGCTCTTCTTTTTGGTATTTGACAACAAAATTTCTTTTGTATTTCTCTCAGGAAGCCCATATTTTCCAAGGGCAACCTTTGGCATGATGCCTACACTTTGCACCCACTCTGTTAGGGTCATTTCTATAGATTTTAATGTTCCTGCCACTACCTACACAGTAATCAGTCAAAGCTTCCCTGAACATCACATCATTGTCAAATTGTTGGCCTAAATAAAAATCAGATGTGCTAGTCTCACTTCCCATATGAACTCTTGTATTTTTACCTTGCACTGGTGCTACAAGGTACCCCATATCATCTTCATCATCATCTTTACTAGGACTATCTTCATCACTACCACCTTCCCAAACTTCCTCAAACATGTTCATTGCTTTCCCCTCAGATTTTGCTACCCTTTGCAGCATACCTAGCTCCTCCTCAAAGTCCAATTCATTCTTCTTTTCTTGGGTAAGTTTGTCCCTAGCACTAACAAACTCCACATCATCTTCATCTGTCCCCTCACTGTCATAATCAAATTGAATATCTCTACTTCTCCTAGGTTCAAAACAACCAGCACCAAAACCATTCAACAAGAACATGAAAGACCCTACAGCAGGCCCTTGACAAGATCCTTGCCCACCACTGCCTACATTAAAGTTTGTTGGCATGCCCAACTCATGTTCACAGTACACATGAATCACTCTGCATTCAAGCAACAAAGACAGAAAAGGATCAAAGGTCCTACTGTCAAAAGCTAAAAACCTCATCCCATCTTGCGTTGTTTTCCTAAAATCTAAGAAGTGAAG